GGGGATGTCGGGGATATCCGGGAGCGGAGCGGGAGTCTGCATTAATATAGAGCTGGCAACGGAGGGGGACAATCATTCCCAGGGAAACAAACTTCCTGGGAAGCTCCAGGATTCGAGCTGGCACCCAGGGGTCTCCTGTTTCTCTCGGGCACTCAGCAATTTCCTCCATAAAATAATTTGGAATTGGGCTTTTTGGGGCAGAATGCGTTGGAAAGGGGAGCGGAGGTGGCTGCTCGGAGAAACGTCGGAGCTTCCCACTGTTCCAATCACCGGGGGCTGTTGTTTTGGCGGGGAGTAAGGCCGGTTTCAACCAGTCTGCAGCTTTTCCGCGGCTCGGGAATTCCCTCAGAGCTGCCTATGGTGGGAGCGGAGCCGGGAGCGGGAGGTGCCGCTCTTGGGATCCTCCCAGATGCACTGGGAAGGGAGCTGGAGATTCACGGCGCTCCGGTATGGGGATGCTGGATCTCAGGATATTCCCGGCATTCCAGCTCCCAGGATGCCAGATGTCAGGATATTCCCAGCGCTCTGGGGATGTCGCATCCTAGGCTGTTCCCAGGCTGTTCCTGGCGCTCCGGCCCTCGGGATGCCATATCCCAGGTTATTCCCGGGCTTTTCCTGGCGCTCCAGCTCTCGGGATGCCGTATCCTGCGTTATTCCCAGGAGCTTCCCAGTGCTGCGGCTCTCGGGATGCCACGTCCCAGGTTATTCCCGGGCTTTTCCCTGCGCTCCAGCTGTCGGGATGCCGCTTCCTGGGCTCTTCCTGGTGCTCCAGCTCTCGGGATGCTGCATCCCGGGCTCTTCCTGGCGCTCCGTCTCTCGCGTCCCGGCCCTGCCCTGCCCCGCGGCCGCGTCGCTGCTCCGGTGCCTGCACAACCTGCCCAGCAGCTCCCAGCACCAGTCCAGGCACCGGCGCTTCCGTAGGGAAGTGGGAGCCACAGGTGCCATCGGAGCGCTCCAGAGGAGGGTTCCGCGGCCGTCTGTAATTCCACCCTCTGGAACCACATCCCAACTCCAGCTGCTCCGGGTGCTGCTATTTTTAGCTCGGGAAGGGGCCCGGGCCGGTTCCCACTTTTCCCACTGGGACGCGGGCGCTCCCTCCTCCAGGCCCACGTCCAGCGGCAGGAAAATCCCAGGCCGGCAGAGCGGCAACAATCCGTGTCCTTTGTGAGCAGGTAAATCCCTAATCCTCACCGCAGGGTCAGCCCTTTCCCAGATTAAGCCTTCCCGGGAAGCTCGGAGTGCCAGCCTGCTTCCGTGGTGAGAGCCTGGGGAGGATCCTTTGGGAAGTGCCCCGGGGGCTGCCCCATGTCCTCCCTTTGGGGCTCACTTGAGGCCTTTTCCGGAGCGCCGTTATTTTCCTCATGGATCTTGCGTCTTCCCTGACCTCCCGCTGTGCAATTTGAGGCTGGACAACCTTTTCTGGAGCTTTTCCGCGTGGGTGCAGTGGGTCTCCGTGCGGCTCCGCCTCGGGATATGAGGTGAAACCCAACCAGGATGAGAGAGAGAGATTTGGGATCGGCCACGCGCTGGGAGGCCAAGGGCTGCTTTTCCCACTCTGCGTCTCCCACTTTTCCGCTTCCCAGGGCTCTCTCCGGCAGGAAGCAGCTCAGAGCGCCCTGTCCATCCTTCCCATGTGGATGCCGCTCGCTCCAACATGCAGGGAGCCTCCGGCCCCCCTTCTGCCGTGGGAGCATCCGCGCTAATCCCAGTGCCAGGCTGGGATTAAGTGTTATCCCATGGGGAGGTCACGGGAGAAGCGGGAGCCTCTTCTGCTCCCTGCAGAGCCCAGAGCCGGGAAACCCTCATCCCGCTCCATGCGGAGCTTCCCAGAGGCTCTGTCCCATCGCAGCCACATGGAGCTGCCCCCTTCCCAGAGGAAAGGGCCAACTTCCCATGGATCTGACGTCTGTAAAACCCAAGGACCCGCCTCATTTTGTGCCGATCCCTCCCGTGAGGCGCCGCGAAACCCAGTGCCGCAGTGTTTTTTTGCACAATTTATTTATCCAAATGGGGGTGCTTGCAAGCGTGAAGCGGCCCTTGAAGGTGACCCGCGTGTCCCTGTCCCCGCAGTGCACCAACGGGCACCTCATGTGCGCCGGCTGCTTCATCCACCTGCTGGCGGACGCGCGGCTCAAGGAGGAGCAGGCGACGTGTCCCAACTGCCGCTGCGAGATCAGCAAGAGCCTCTGCTGCCGCAACCTGGCCGTGGAGAAGGCGGTGAGCGAGCTGCCCGCCGAGTGCGGCTTCTTCGCCCGCCAGTTCCCCCGCCCG